AAAGGACCCTAGCACAGGCCAGTGGCCTGCTTTGAACGGGGCGTGGCTGACCTGTGACTGCATCCAGTCATGAACCAAAATGCTAGGGATGTTGAAAGTCAGGATTGCATTGGTAAAGCTGTGTGTGAGCCTTCACGACTGATGCGAGTAATTGACAATATTTATTTTCCAGCACTGGATTGGAGTGAAATATCAACTCTTCAATCCCTTGCTTTAATCCAGCCCTCTGAAATCTAAGTTCAAACCAAAGCAAAACAGAAAATTCTTGTTTTAAAGGTAAGGCGAGTGGGAGAGAAGCCCCTAATCAAAATGTCCTGATAACTGAAGAATCCGCTGGTGAAAACTAATATTGGAGAGTCATGCCGAGAGCAGGAGCTGAACCTTCCCACTTCTTACCCAGAGCTAAAGATTGACCATGAGTGACAGCAGCATGCTTGGGCAGTATCACTGCTCTCTCAAAGCCGTCCTCTTTACCACGGACCTAGCCCCTAAATCTTCAGCATGATGTCCTCAGTGTATTGCACCCGTGTTTCAGCCTGGTGGGAGCAGTTGCTCCGACCTGTGTTCCCTCCTTTTCTCTCCAGCCAGTCTCCTAATTTCATAGCCTGTTCAAGGCTGAAGACTTCTTTTTCTCTCTCCTTTGTGTCATCCAGGAAACACACCCACCTCTCTTGCTCCAGCCTCATATTCTGCCTCAGTCAGAGATTCTGTAGCTCATGTGAAGGAATTTCAAGCAATGCTAACTGTGGCAATTTTTTTAACCATGGAAATTTGAGATTGGAAAATCTTGCTTGCTCATCCAGTTCATTATTTTATATTCTAGCCTAGCCCAATTCCAGCAAGACTCTTGCCTGCAATACATTTTCCAGTTCATTATCTAGCCTGCATCCTTTGCTTCCCATGAGAAACTGTACCACAGAGGACTACTTTTCAGTGTTTGGAAGAGGTTTCTACAGTTTTCTTTCCATTCGGCCTGACCTAATTTCTTTAAGTTCTGCCTGTGCTAACATGCTAGCTGGGCTCTCTTGCCTTCATGGTTACCTTGTTCAGGTGATGGCAAATAATTCTTGTTCAGTCAAACTGTTTAACCACAATGCTTAATGCTAGTAGTAAAGCTCAGCAATAAGAGTCCTTGGCTACCTGGAAAAGACTAACATTGAGATTAGCATGTTAATGGGTACACAGAACACAGCAGACTTTGCTGGTAGCGCTGCCTCTTTATTATAACAGTCACTTGACACACTCCATCACGAGGTCTGGCTTTGGTTGCTTTTGCTTTTGCCAAACTTGACACAAGCATCATCTAGCTCATGTCTGCTTCAGTAGTTTTATAGGGTTCTTTTTGGTTTTGTTTTTAATTTGTCATGACCACTTTGTTATTTCTTGAGAACAAGGCAGGCAGGGGAATAGTCTGTCTTATCCACATTTTAAAAATCATAATTACTTTTTCTTTAAAAAACCCAACAACCCACATTTTGAGCAATGTCTTGCATTAAAATAAATCACACTTTTTCTGTCAGAATCAGATCTTTTGTCATCTATGACAAAGGCCCCTGCAAACTTGGCTAAATAATGAGCTTTTGAGATATTGCAGCTTGGGCCTGCTCAGAAAAATATAATGGGGGCTAGGAAGGACAGTTGTTTATCTTTTTTTTTAAACTGTGAGCCTGAGTTTAAGACCTAAGTTATAACATACTTGTACAAAGACCCCTGGCAGTGGCTGCAGGGTCGCCTCGTTCTGGCCTCCCTTGGGCCAGGATGCTGTTGCTGTGCCTGGCCCTGTCTTTCTATGGCTGGGTCACCCTTGGGAGCTGATGTCCTTGGCCCATGCATGGAACTGGGGTTACCTGGGCATGCGGAAACCTGGCTATGAGGAAACAGGGAGGTGTGGAGAGGAGGAGAGAGAAAACAACAACAACAACAACAACAACAAAAACTTAACTGAAAGAAAGCCAAATCAAAAAAAACTAAAAAAAACCCCCAAAAAAAAAAAACAAAAACAAAAAAACCAAACCAAACCAAAAAAAAAAAAAACCAGCAGAAGAGAGGCAGACGCCCAATTTCTCTGCTGGCTGTCTCCAAAACATTTTGTGTTTTTGTTTTCAGCCACTGGGGCACGCCTTTCCCTCAGGACTTGTAGGGAAGCCTGGGTGCCCTGAAACTCCCCTGGCACAGCATACACATGCTGTATCCACCCCATGCCCATAGCAGTGACACCAACTGATTCCTGAATTCCTTGCTCCCACTGGGCCTCCAAGGCACAGGGCCAGGGCCCCACATTGATGTCACTGCTGCCCTGTCCTGACCTGTCTCCTCCCTGGTGTGCAGGTGGCTTCAGTGTGCTGCCCAGCACAGCATGAAGGCAACGGGAGGCATGAGCCATGGAGATTGGATGTGACAGCAAGACTGTCTGTGAAGCCACAGTTCCAAAATGCCATAAAGGAATGGAAAGGAATCCCAAATCCTCATAAAAGCTGAGGAAAAAAGGAGATGCCCTCAATCCTGGGTGATTATCATGATATCCAGAAAGATTAAAGGTGCAATTGTAATATCTAGCATGATTGTTTCCAAAGCACCCACTGTAACAAAACCCCTCTACTCAGCACTGTAAGGAAAGCTGGTCTCATTATTCTCTTCAGACAGTATAGTAGACCTTGACTCCTCTGATCTGTGCTTGCTAGCACCCTTACTCTGTCAGGAAACCCAGCCTGAGAAACTCGCTCGTGCCTTCTGACCACCATTCTTACTGCATTACTTGCCATGCTGCCTCTTTATTCGTTAATCCTTCCCCTCCCAGTTTTCTCTTCCTCCCCTTTTTTTTTTTTTCTTGTCAAAGCAAGGAGTTTTTAATAGCTAAAGAACGAAAACACCTCCCACGCCTTGCCTTAAAAAAGCTAACTCTCTGTCTTACTCACTCTTTTAGATTTCCAAACCTTTCCTGCTAGCTTAGATGTTTCATTTGAGGCGCTGGTTCCTCAAATACTAGCATGTGAGTAGAACTTTAATGAACTATGTAACTCCAATAGCCTTGAGAGGACAATCCATGTGAATAAATAAATCAGGTGTGGAATGGACACCATGGCATTTTGCAGGGATAGAAAAGTATTCTGATTTACATTGTGATTTGATTGGAAAAATGAGATATTACAAGGGACTTTATTCCAGATGGAGTGGTATCTCCCTTGCAAAAAAATTTAACAGTAGGCTTGAAGTTTTTCAGGGTGCTAAAGTCATAGTGATGCAGATGGATTGATTAAATAATCTTTGGAGGCTTCCTCTAACTCTGCTTATTCTGATTCCCCATGGTGAAATGGAGCAAAAGATAAATTGAAGCAAAGAACAATTGCTTTTGCTGTCAAATTTCCATGAGTGAAACCAAAGTGCAATGTGGCTTAACTGTATTGTTTCAAATTTTTTTTTTTTTTTTTGCTTTAAAACATATTAAACATATCTTTGACTCCAAGATCACCTGCATCTGTATGAAGTACTTTTTGCACAGATTAATTTTAGGTCTTCTAATTTTTTCATTACCAAAACAGAATGTCTCCTGCTGTCTTTGTGCTGATTCCAGTATCAACAAGGATCCCCTGTGCTTTAGATTTGCATCTGTGACAATGACTCCAAAGACCCAACCTTATAGTGTGTGGAAACAAGGGCTATTTTGAACTATCAATCCAGCCATGGGTATGTGGAGCTTAGCACAGTTTACTCTGTTCCTGGACTTAGGTTTGTACACTGCATTGTGTTGCATACTGCTGGAGTGAAATTCCTAGCAACACCCAATTAAAACAAGCACTGAATGTTTACTCCCCATCACTGCCACTGCTTTGACTGCAGTGTAAACGCACCACTAATGACTTGGCTGATGGGAGGGGAAAATGATGTGTCAAAGCCAAGTACAGAACTAGGAATTTGGGCCACCAGCCAGCTGGTTAGATCACAGTGTGTGCCTCTAATGAAACACATTGATTTGTGACTCTTACAATAACATTTTTAGGAAATCACTTCGCTGGGTATTTATTTGTGTGTTGGAGCAACCTGGTCGGGTTGGAAAACTAAAGCAGACACTGTTTACAGAGCAAGAGTAAAATTTTAAGAATCAGATTAATTAATCATTGGAATAACTTTTCTAAGGATGTGATGAATTGTCCATCATATTCTACTGCACGGTCAATACCAGATAGTTGTCTAAAATATGTGCTATAGCTCTGGTAGGAGTTCCGTGTATCACTAGAAGTGGTTATCTAGAGTTATTTGGGTTCTGTTACACCTGAGAGGAGACTATGTTGTTGCAATGGTTCCTCTTGATTATAAAAAACCCCAGGAGCCTGTGGTAGTCATTGAGTCTGGGTGTTTGTGATTCTGAGTAGTAACAGACTGAGATCTTGTCAGTGGTAGATTTAAAAGTAGCAACGATTTTCATAGAGGGGACTACCAAATTACAAAGGCTCATTCTGCAGAAGTGGATGCTCTGCCAATCTAGTGGCTGATATAATGTGCTGTGATGATTTAGCAAGCTCAGAAAGAATTAAACCATCAATAAAATTACAGACTTGGTACATTTCAAAGCCTCTGTTCAGATCTCATGGAATTTCTTGGTTCCTACATGTTCAGTCAGACAGAAAGTCATGGGGGCGAATCCATGATCACCTTGTAGTGTTTCACTGGATGCCTCAGAAGAGCAGATGGGAATAGTGAGCAGTGGATAAGGTAAGCATTTATCTGCTTGGAGTTTTGTACAAACCTTTTCTGGACTGGCACCTCCTTAATATCCTTATAGATCTGTGCATAAATTAGTGGTTCTCTTGTCTGTTTGCAGTTTATGGTTAGCTAAATTACATAAATACTATTTTTTTTTCTGTGTGCTCTTGTGAGCACATCCTAGAGTTTAGGTCCTGTGTGAAAAGCAACCCCCTAACCTTATGTATTATATATAGTCTTACATTTCCTATCCAGAAATTAAGACATCTAGAATCTCTAGTGAGTCCTCAAAGTCTTTTTTGCTGCATCTGATTTTTCCCTTTTCATGTCTGCTTTCTGTGTGGATTTTGAGTGTCTGACAACCATAAAGATTAGGAAAAAAATCCAGACAACTATGACTTGTTTCAAGAAAAAAAAAAAAGAAGGAAAAAAAAAAAAAGTGGTTAGGTCCAAACTGACTGACTTGTTTGTCCATCTTTAAGATGCATTTACTTAGTCCAGTTAGATCTTTATTTATGCCACAGTCTCAGTGTCTAGCAATGTAAGCTGATCATCTTAAAAACAGAATTCACTTTTAAATGTGCTTAGGCTAGAAAAAAATACGCCTGGTGAGGTCATTTGCAGAGCAAGAGTTAATGCATCATGCAAACAGCTAAATAAAGGTTACAATCTGAGTGGAATTATTCAGAGCTCAGGGAGAAATCTGGCATTTGCAGTCTGTCACTGGATTTGAGAAGTCTGGCTCTCTCCATGTCACTGTCACTCGGGAGACATCCTGCTTTCTGTGCAGCAGTGAGGGAGGGGACTGCGGCTCCGAGTGATCTTTCTGTAAAAACAGCAAAAACAGGAGCGGTGGGAAGTGTCATGTGCAAGGAATGTGTGGAATGAGGGGTGAGTATGAGCCTGTATTTGTCCAGTTTTCACAGAGCAACTCTATGGGTGAAAATAGCCACCCTTCCTCCTCTCCTTTCCTCTTCAGATCAGCTGAAGAGCCAATGTCAGGACAGCAAATGGTCCCTGATATCCCTGGAGCATTGCTGCATGGGGGGCTATGGGGAGTCATGCGCCTCTTGAGACCCACCAGTTAAATACTGCAACTTTTGGGCCCTATATGGCAAGGTCTCCTTGATCTTCTTTTCCACCAGCATCTCTGGGAGTTGAATTCGTCACTTTGGGGCAGGATACACCCAAGCCAGGATGTAGATGGTGATAGAGCCATGATAAAAATGCATCACTTGTCAACGCCCAGGATTTTTTAGAGTTGGCAATCTCCACAGTGGTGCTGTGTGATGATTTTGGGGGGTTTTGCATTTTGTTTCCTTGTTTTGTTTCTATAAGTCAAGCATTTGGCTGATTGCACAGGAAATCAACTGCTCTGGGCATTCACTTCAATGGATGAATTTTAAACGAGTCACCAGGGACTGGCTGTTGCTGAGTTCAAAGAGAAAGAGACATCCAAAAACTCTAGCCAGGGCCAAATTATGGTGGGAAATATCAGATACAAAGAGGAGAAAAATGAAGGCACAGCAGGGTGAAAGACTGATACAGCTTGATTTTCCTGTCTATAATAGGTCAGATTGAGGTGAGATTAATATGGAAAATGCAAAAAAAACCAAAAAACAAAAAAACAACCAACGAACCAAGATCTAAACCAAAACCAGATAAAATCCCCATAATTTTGCAAAAGGGAGTTTGTTGAACATCAGGAAACATGCTCTGATGTTGGTGTTCTATGAGTTATATGCAATAATCTGGGGAAATTTAATGTGATACTTGACAAAATATTGTGAAAAGTGTTAGAAAGAATAGTTTCATGCAGGGCAGAAGGTGAGCAAAGGCCCAGCTCCTGCAATTATTCCTCTTTTTTTTCTTTTTCCAGTGATTTCAAGTGTCCCCAGGCTCAGATAATTCCAAGAGACAGACCTACACCCCATTTCAGAATCAAGGTAAAGAGTTTGTGCTCAGAAAAATGTTAAAAAAAAAAAAAAAAAAAAAAAAAAGGCTATGGGGGGAGGAATTTCAAGGGAAGGAATAAAGGTATAGAAGTCTAAACTTCAGTGTTGCTTCCCCCAGCATACAAGTGAGCAGCAGAGACTCCTGAGAAGACTAGAGAAAGATTGCCATCTTCTGGAAGGATAAATATCTGCCGGTATTCAGAATACTAAATCTGCTATAAGCATATTTTTTAAACCATAGCATATTTCTGATAACTTTATTTCCCAACATGAATTCTTATCCATATTAAGCTAATTCAGTTTAATTTCATTGATATATATGATCAGCTTTAGAAACTGACAGAGAATCTTGGGTTTTAATGATAGTCTAACCAAGTTTAAAATTAGGAATGTGTTAAGGATTATCAGTAGATCTGGACTTTATCTATTCTTGAGTTTGTAAACCAGGCTTGCTGCTTTTTTTTTTTTTTTTTAACTGAGCATTTAGAAGTTAAATTTAAGGTGTCCAGATGCGGAAAGACTGAAAAAAAGAAAGAAAAAAGAAATCACTCTCTTTTTAAATGGCATCAGCTGTTGTTCTACCTACTTAAGTAAATTAAGTACATCTGTTTCAAACAGAACCTTTTTATTAATCAAAATCCTTCAGGAAGTCCATGGAGTACAGGGACATTTAGCATTGCTTTCAGTTAGTCCGTCTTAGAAAAGCTTATCTATATTAGAGGAGTTTATGCGGTGATGGAGATTAAAATAACCGCAGAGCTACTGCCCATTCTGCTCAGGGCAGGAAGGGTCAGGAGCCCGGGATAGGACAGCCCATGTGCTGGACCGTGAATTTCTCCTTCTGCTGCCGTGCTGTGTGGGGCTGTCACAGGCTGTACTGTCACCCAGAGCTATTCCAGCAACTGCCTCCAGCCTCTGGGCTCTGCTGTTGGACACGGGGGGGGGGTAAGGATGGATGGACCACTTGTTTCCTCTGTCTTGGCAGAGCAGCATGCAGGGAATCTGCCTTGCTCCCTCCCAGTGGTGGTGCTAGCTTCACCCACTTGGCACTGGGCAAAGTGCTTGTGGGGAAGAAAAGATGTGTCTTCCTTTGGGATGTTCCCCTGCCTTGCAGTTTGATTCAGTGCAGCTCTGCTCCATGGCATCTAGTACATTCTCATGAGAGGTGATGTTGTTTTACTTTTCATACGTTTGATACCACACAGGTATTTTGAGAGCCTTTAAACTTTCAGGACAAGAGCTCAGAGGTGACTCTGTGTGAATGTGAATCCCTGTCTCTTCTTACTAGGTTCACAAAATCACCCAATGTGAGCCAGCTGGGATTCCCAGTGACCTTCACATTTTGGTAAAAGCTGCCACAACAAGTGACACTGACAATCTATCTTATTCTTCTATGCTTTGACTATTTGGCTTGACTTGCTGCTGTTTCAAATACCTCCTTCATGTAAGTGATGCCATGGTGTCAGCCTGCCACTCAGCAGCTCTTCTGCTAAGGGGCTCCTTTTGGCATCAAAATTTCCAGTGCCCAGGGGAAGAGCTGTATTGGTATCCCTTCAGGGACTGAAATCCCCAGTCCTCAGAGCAGATGCAGTTGCATAAACATTCCTCCCCCCATTTTTTTTTTAATTCTGCCCTTTCTGAAACTATCAGGTGTGGCCAGGAAGATATCCTAGGGCTAGGATGCTTTTGGTCTTTGCCTTTCCGCTGAGACAGTGCACACTGCAAGGGGTGACCTGACACCAAAGGTGCTGGCAGTTTCCCAGCTAAGGTCACTCCTCCCCTGTAGCACCAGCCAAAGCTGCCATCTTCCTCCATACAAGCTCCCAAATAGCTACCACATGGGGGTGGCTGGAATCTTTCGATGTTTTAGAGAAACTTTCTACTCAGTTAATACAGGTCACTCTTCTGCACTTAATCCCAGCCCGCCGCACCAATCGCTTCCCATATAATCTCCCAGAACAGCTGTGCTGTGATTGCATTGTGGATTACAAAATGACCATTTTCCACAAAACAGCTGCTGATCAGAAGGATAGCATTTAATAATCACTGGTGAGGAGAAGGAGGAGGGGACCAGACAAAGGAGGAAGGGATTTTGCTGCAATTGAGTTTCTTGGAGGATACAGAGATGAACAAAACAGCAGACAAAGCGTGAGTTCCAATTCTGTGCACTTCATCCAAATTAACAGGACTTCAAATACTTGCTACTAAGGTAAATTCAGCTATCATTCCTTTTGGGGATATCTAGATATTATGGTTGGTTGCTATCAGTGAGTGCTTGGCTTTTGTGAAGGGAAGCTTTTCTAACAATGTTTTCAGGAAGTATTTTCAGATTTGCTTGTCATTCCATGTCTTCTGCGTCCTTGATCCACTTCCTACTTCTGACTCATTTGTTTCTTATACTTTTTATGTCTTTTCCTTAAGACTCTTCCTGAAATTATACAGCCTTTCAACTACTGTCATAAATCAACTGGAGAGAATATTTTTCCCACTACTGAAGATTTAAATTAGAAAGATGATTTTTGTAAATATTGTGAGTTTTTTGTTAAATAAAAGCATTAGCAACCCAAAACCTGATGACAGAAAATCTTATAATTAAGCACTGATGAAAAACTGAAAAACTTTTTGTGCTGAAGGTTTCAATTTTCAGGTAAAAACTGTAGTTTTGAGAAGAGCAATTTTGTCTGCAACTTCCTTTTCAGTCGTAAGCCAAATTTTCCACCAAAAAAACCTTTCAGTGAGAAGTTTGCCACTAATCTTAGCCAGAAACTTTTCCTAGTAGGTGTCTTTTCTGCAAAAATGGTGATATTAAACATGCCTTCGAATCATGAAAGCCATTAATTATGGCATCACTAAGACATTACCTTCTCCAGGGTGCAGAAAGAAATGTCCTGGTAAAGAGACAAAAGAAGCCAGAGTATGAAACAACACAAAAAAATTTCAGGACCCAAGTATTGTCTTGCTTTCAATGAGGGTTTTCAGGGTCAGCACTGCTTTCTCAGTGTGATGAGATGCTAATAAGATCCTGGTTTTCAAGAGGAGCTTCTGCACTCTCTTTGTTGACCTTGTTTCCAAGCTTGCTGGGTAGCAGAAAAAAATTATTCTAACTGCACCACTTTTATCTGTGGTGCAGTTACAGACAATGCAAAACTGGTTATTGTATTGTTTATTTATAGTGATGTCCACAGAATGGTCTTTCTCACTTGTTCAGCATTGGGTGAGTCAGCTGAAGTTAAGTGAAGAGGACCCACAGCAGGCAGTGTCTGTACAAACTGAATCTATTCATGGGTAAATAGATTTTCAGAGTCATAAATAGGAAAGGGTGGGAGTATCTGGATGAAGTTGTGCCAAACATAGGGAGTGCCACGTAGGAAGAGACATGCATTGATTACATGAAAGTTGATGTGTGGGTAGATGACATCTAATCAATCTATGGAGTGATATTTTGGGGTTCTCAGGAGTCAGTGCAGGGTTTTGCAGGAACCCTAAAGTCTTCATATTCCCTCTGAGTGAGAAAGTCCCTGTTTCACAAACTGCTTTCTGAATTACTTTAAAGGATGAGATGAAATCAGTATGAATGTTTGTAGCAACATTCACCCTTATAGGAAAAAACCTTTGGTACTTTGTGTGAAAGCAAAGATGCTGTCATCCTACCACCCTACCAAATTTCTGATGTGCAGATGAGCTCTCAGGTGGAAAGTGCTGCTCTGTGGCTTGTACTTAAGCTATCAGGTCTGGATAGCTGGGTGTTCTCTCTGAGCCGGTCACTGCTTTGATGCGTGACCTTCAGCGGAATGGGAACATTTTCCTGCCTTTTCCTACTGAGAAATCACTATACTCTCTGCCTCCCTAGGTACAGTAATGAGCTGCTTGAAAAGTGTTTTGGGATACTTGGCAATAAGATTTCTCATTTAGTTGAAGAGAGCATCCGTTGTCTCTCATGTAAAGGCAACACATGATATTCAGGGAAGTTGGTTAACAGTTTCTCCCTGTCATCTCTGAGATGGACTAATGTGATGTTCCTTGTGTTTTGCTCATGTGCTCAGACTCCTCAATGCACTCAGTCCTGCTATGTCACCCTCTCTTCCCCAGTATAGATATTCAGCATATTTTGTAATGTTGAAGCTGAATAGGTCCACTGCCCTGGCTTTCAAGAAATGGTTCTTCCATGCTGGGTGAGATGTTTGGATGTTGTGAGGAGGGAAGAGTGTTCATAACCCCTCCCCACAGCTGCATGCTGGGAAGAGGTGGGATTCATAAGGCTATGTGGGACAAGTGGCTCGTGTGATGGTCTCTCCTATTTGTGTGTTGTAGATGGAGCTGCTGAAGGGACTGCCATTGCACCGCACTTTCCTGGCTGTCATCCTGAACCTGCTGGCTCTCACCCTCTCCACCACAGCCTTGCTGGGCAGCTACTGGTGCACTGGGACCCAAAAAGTACCCAAGCCTTTGTGTGGGAAGAGCAAAGCCTCCCAGTGCGTGGGTGTCCCCATGCCATCTGATGCAGATGCGAGCAATGTTTCATCAGAGGACACAGTGCACTACAGCTGGGAGACTGGAGATGACCGCTTTGCCTTCAGATACTTCCACACAGGGATGTGGCTTTCCTGTGAAGAGAGCATGGAAGGGCCAGGTAGTGTGTTGCTCAGGCAGCCACATCATATTGCCTCGTATTTACTCCACAGAAGTTTGAAACTGAAAGGTAGAATGCTGAGAACATGTGGAAGAAAAGTATTCTTCCTTTTCCTAGATGGTATCAGCCCTGTGCACTGGTGCAGTTAATATATTTCTGTCCTTCACTGGAATGTTCACAGAGCAGGGAAATGGAGAGTGGTTGTCTCCGGTGTGCCCTTTGGTCTGGAATAGGGCCTGTGAAGTGTAAGTGGTGATGGTGGTGGCAGTGACTTTATGATGGCACTGTTCATCCTGTTGGGAATTTCCATGAGCCTCCTTTCCCTTTCCCCATGTCTCCATTCCTATACACAGTTTACTTCATGCTCTTCAGGGTAAATTTGTGCATGTTCTCAGAAATTTAAGTACAGTGATTTTATGCAGATGTTAATTTTTAGCTATGCTGTGAGGACTACAATAGTTGGTGTTCTCAAATCATCAAACTGAGTAGTTTTGTGTTATTATACAGAGACTGGGCTTTTCTTAAAAAATAGCCAAATAAATAAAATAGAGAAAGGGAATTACTACCTAATAGATACAGAGAAACCATGGAGGATCTGAACACAAAGGAACTAAAGCTAGGAGATAAATTGACCTAAGGATTAGAGCTGCAATATTGTACTTGCTTTTAGTTTTTGTGATACTGTGACAGGTTCATTAGTGATTTTTGACCATGTGGGACTGGCGCTGTAAATCCTGAAGTGCCAGGGACTGGTTGTGCAACCTTTACGAGAACCCTTTGGTGCTTCCCTTCACCCTTGACTTGTTCCTGCCCAGACCTGCTCAAGTCCTTCTGCTGAACCTGTGCCATGCCAGCACAGGTGGGTGCTCTGCAGTGCTCAGATGTCCTTTACTGCCTGGCACACACATCAAGGATCAGAACTAATCCAGAAGGTGGCCAACACAGAGATTTGTACCTAAAAATAGAGTGATGAAAGTCACTTTCATCAGGGCCATTTCCCTGAGCCCACCACCCTCCCTTCAGCTCTGCCCAAGTACAAACATCTAACCTTCTTTAACCAAGCCATCCTTCCAGTATAGTATTTTTCATCTCTGTTTCTGTCAGTTTGAAAATAAATAACTGGTGAAGAAAAGAAGACAGAAGGAGGGGTTGGAGCAGAAGGGAATGTGCTTGAAATTCTCATGTCCTTACAAGTGGGCTGCTTTTTGTTATGAGCATTTCCAGAAGGGCTGTGGAAGGAGATGAGTTTATTTAGGACTGGTTTGGGTTGGATTGTGTTTCCATGATGCTTGTGGGAATGAAACTACATCCCTCGACTGATTTCTCTAAACAACTTTTCTGTCCACTGAGCAGTCCTGGAATAACCCCAGTGCCTGAAGGAACAGAGAAAGTATGTAACATCTGGATCACAGCAGAACACGGGATAGAGCACGGGATAGAAGAACAGACAGTCTCAGTCTCCTGCTTCCTATAAATCAAGCACAACCCACCCACTACTGTGCATCTTTGAAACAACTGAGTAGACAATAAAAACAACAAAGAAGGGACTACTCTGAACAAGAGGAGTTTGAGTTGTGCTGGAGAAAGGATTTCATTTTCAGGCTAATCGCAGGATCAGTTTAGATGAGCCATTACTGAATATCCTCATTAAAGTTCTAGGTGAAGTAGCAAATTGCAAGTTAATGAGAACTGCAGATGGCACTAAACCGGGTAGCGTCCTGAGAGCCGTGGATGACAGAAATAGCACAGGAGATTTGGAAAGATTAGAACTGGGGATAGAAATTAAGAAAACTAGATTCTTACATGAAGCGATAAAGTCTGGGAGAAAATACTGTGCCAAATGGAGGAGAGGACCCTCAAATGCAGTAATGCAGTATGCAGGGACAGAGACTTACAGATAATAATGATGGACCCTCAGCTGAGACAGTAGTTTTCCAAAGCAAATATTAACACAATTTGTTGAAATAGCATGCCTAAAATTTGAGGACCAAGGACCATATTTCTGTATGAGTTTGCCATAGAAGGGGAAATTGCATCTCTGTCACAAAGTATTTTACTTGGAAGTTCTTTTTTTTTTTTTTTTGCTTTCTTTGAGAAGTGGTGCTAGAAATGGTCTTCTGAGATTAGAGTGTGTGGGAATTCAGCAGAAGTGATGGATCCGCAGACTGTTAAAAACTACACCCTTAATAGACCTGATCATCAGTAATGTTGTGAATGAGTAGCAACAGATTTTTTATATTCAGCAGAGGCTAGTAAGATTTACGAATTGCTTAATCTTTTTTTTCTGAAAAGGTCATTTCTAGTTTTGCAGGCAAATGTTGCTTTCCCATCCTTTGCCTCAGTGAAGGTCTGGAAAGATAGAAAAAGATTGGAAGTGAGATGGTCTGATGGGTAGATTCAAGGATGCCTGGATGCATACACTGAAAAGAGAGTGAGATGAAGAGATTTTCTTTTCCCCTATGTTCCTGAATTGTTTTATAAACTAAAAGCTTTGGTTTTGTGTTTCAGAAGAGAAATGCCGCAGCTTTATTGAGCTTTCACCACCAGCAGAGAGAGGTAAGAGCAAATCCCTGTATTTCACCGTAGCTGTACAGTGCACCTTCTAGGGACAAGGGACCTGCGGCATTTTGCCTGTGTGTGGACAGCAGGTTGGGTCCTCAAAGAGCCAGGTATGAAATCCTGTCCTCGTGGTTGCTAAAAGACAAAAGATTTCCTCCCAGATGTTCTCATAAACCACTGCCATTTGTGAAGTCAGTGCTAGAAACCTCAGATTCCCTCTAGTATGAAGTGGGATTTGTCTCATGTAGTAAGTTGCCTGGTCTGGGGTTGTCATCTTGCTGCAGTAAAGGGGAAGAGGATGGATGCAGCCTCTGGGCAGTTCCTCCCACACACACTACCTATTAACTCAGTGCGTCAGTTTTGGGGTCTAATACAATGAATCCAGAAGCTGAACCACCTCTTTGTGGTAAGTGAGCAGGACATCTGAAAGTTATGCTTTCAAAATGAAATCCCTGCCTCATTAAAGACAAAACTACATTTGGGTAGGAGAGATCACCCCTCCTGTCATTGTCACATGTCTCAAATCACCCTGTGGATAGCTTCAGTATACTTTGATGTAAGTGCACATATGCTATGGAGATTCTACTTAATGAAGGCTTTTCAGTTGCTGTGGGCTTGCTAACTATTCCCTGAGATGGAGGCTGGAGGCAAGTCATTTCAGAAGATGTTCATATATGAAGGGAAAGGCCTGGGGTGCAGAACCTGTGACAGCATTCAAACCCTGAAAGCAAGGGTGTAATAAATTCTGGGAATTTGAAAGTGCCATTTTCACCCCTTCCTGCACAAATTATCATCTTTACAAGACTGGTGCAGATGCCAAGGTATGGCTGGGTTAGCACTGCACAAGGGGGTGTGACTTCTGACTGTGGGATGGGCTGGCTGAGCTGGGTGTGTGCAGAGCAGCTCCACAAAACGCAGGCAACATTACAAGACCAAATTACACATCATTAGCCTGGACTCTCAAGGAAAATGATGTAGAGGTCTCTGTGTATGTGTGGTCCCTGTTACCTCCAGAATACTTTTGACAGGCTGACCTTTAATGAAATATCCTCCTTGATGGCGCTGCAGCAAGTAAGCCAGCTCCTTTAAACAGGGAATGCAGCTCATCTATTTCTGCTAAAGAGCTGAGTGACTCTATGGCACTAATGATGTCGAGTATTCAAGTCAGTGCCACATTAATTAGGGTTTTCTTCACACTCCTTTTCCCCAGCTGAATGTCTCCTCTACAGCCATTAATAGTTGCTAACAGTGGTGTTCACAGTGCTGCTTCATTTGTCAGATTAATGTTTCTTCCTCAGTGAATCCTTTACTTTTCCACAGCCCAGCATTACAGAGTGCCTTTCTTCATTCTCCTTCAGTTCTTACTGCACAGCTGTAGAACTCAGCTCAGCTGTGGACTCTGGTATCACTTAAATCACACTCGAAATCCCAGCATGAAAGTACCTGCACTCTGTTCAAGAAGCAGGGTGAGCGGTCAGTGTTACTGCCCTGGCTGGATATCAACCCCAAGGAACGTACTTTCATTGTAATTGGGATTTCGGTGAGAAATACAGGCTTGCAAGAGGCTTCCTGAATTCCAGAGGCCATGTCCCAGACAGTCATGGATGCACCATATAGTTTTTAAATAGTTGAGTCCCATTTTAAAAGTTTATTGCTTTTGTTGTTGTCATTAGAGCTTGGATGTGTTTGTGGCCAATCCATGACCATTAGATTTTATGCTAATAGTCAACAGCTTCCCCTGTCTTTTTCTCTTTGCTTTCCTCCTTGCTGTTTAGGAATAATGCTGGCTTGTTTACAGAGGGCATTTTAGATCCCCTCAGCTCTGCCATGCTAGAGGAGCCAAGTCATCCTCTGTGACATGCACTCTGTCCTCTATAGGATCCATTGATCCCTTGCTCATAGGGTGGGGAGATTGCTTTTGGGTGTTTACTGTTTTCCTTCGTTCCCTTTTATCCAAAGGACTTTCTTTCAGGATTGGGCTGAGAGAAGGGAGTACTCTTGAACATGGTTTCATCCTGTATTCCTGGCAGGAATCCTGTGGCTGTCACTGGGATCAGAGATGCTGTACATCAGCTTGCTGCTCATCAGCTTCATCCTCCTGATGGTGGAAATTCTGCATACTGGAAATCCTGTCTGTGGGATGAAACTCAATGCCTTTGCTGCTGTATCCTCAGTGCTGTCAGGTAAGTGTATTACTGTAATCTTGGAATCTCAGCACTGGAGAGCCTGCTTTTCCACTCAAGGCTGAAGTATGCTGCTCTGGCTCCTGCTGTAACTTCTTTGCTTTGTCCTTTGTGTCCAGGTCTCCTTGGGATGGTGGCACATATGATGTACACTCAAGTCTTCCAGGCAACAGTTAATCTGGGACCAGAAGACTGGAGACCTCACACATGGGACTATGGCTGGGCATTCTAGTATGTGAGCTCTGAAGCCATCTTCACCCCCCCCAGCCTTTACAGCTTCAGCCATGCCACCCGCTTCCTCCTCATTTCTTGACCTTCTGTGTGTTCCAAAGACAGGTGTATCATGGTTCTCCTACTACTAATCTCCTGTCTTTGCCTCACCCTCTTTTAATAAATGGTGGCTGAGGTACTTAAATTAATAGCTACCAAAGGATTGGGAAAACAATGGGGTCACACCTAAACAATTGCTTTCAGCCCTGCTGACTAATTAGGCTTGCCCCTCTGCTGGTTTGCCCTGTTTGGTCTCAACTCTTCCCTGTGTGCAGAGGTCAGTGTCAAACTTGTAATGATGCTCTCAAACACACCTTGTTTTTCTGCAATTTTAATAAGTTGCATGCTGGTTTGGCATCTTCACTAACCAATATTGGGCCAAAAGGCCTATTCCTGCAACACCAAGCCTAGACATGTGCCTAAAGATGTGGGCACAGCTCAGCCCCCAACCAGCAGTCACACCATCTTCTCCAGTGCTGGCTCAGCCATATAATGGCAGCTGCACTGGAGACCAAGGTCATCTTAAGATGGTACTACATGCAGGAAGGAGGAAAAGCAGGGAATAAACCACAGGGTCACTTGTGAGCCAGGAAGAGGAGCTGTGAAAAGCAAGTGGCTCAGTGTGCCTTTCTCTACACGATAAATCAGCCGAGCAAAGCGGACATGTCACTCTAGTTCATATCTGTGCCCAATGGGTTCTGCCTGGCAAATCAGGGAGAATTGGGGTGTGTCATGGTGTTCCTTACCCTACATTGCTTTTCACAGCATGTGCTTTTTCTGTGTGTCTCTGGCAGCATGGCCTGGGCCTCCTTTACCTGCTGCATGGCCTCTGCTGTCACCACTCTCAATACCTACACCAAGACAATACTGGAGTTCAAAAGGAACCACATCAAGGGATATGATGGGACCCTCAAGGATCACTCTCAGCATCACCAGTGCTTCATACAGCAAATAAGCAGCTACTATGAGCCCAAAGGCAAGGCCTTCCATTCAGTCTCTGAGGGAGTCAACTTCTACACTGATCTGCAGCAAAAAATACTACAGCGGGAACCAGAGCTGGACCTGGATGAAGTCTTGGGCCAGACAATTGGGGAGGATTGCTGTTAGGGATGAGTGTACAGGGATAGAGCTCTTGTTCCTCCCAAACCCCACAGCTCTGGCACCACCGTTAGCAGGTTTTGGGGAACTCTTCCAGTCTCTACAGGGAGTGAGGAGGCAGGCACTGGGTCAGGGCAACTAGAGTAGGAGTTTGGGGGTCCTCCCTGGTCATATACAGTGTGATGGGTGCCCTCATCTGACAAGGGTGAAACTGGAGGGACATGCTGGTGCCAGCTGTCTCCAAGCACTTTCAGAGTTGATTCAGATGTCCTAATCCCAGTATTGCACTGGGGAACAGACAGTCAGCACCATCCAGGTGGCAAACTGCACTGCTGGGTGGTGTCACATTGACCTTCCGTCAACACCTCAACTTCACTGCTATGGTGAAGGCCATCAGTGTTCATATTGATCAGGTGTCACCTTCTCTGAACACCCTGTTTATTCTTAATTTCCAGGCCCAAACTCTCCTCTCTGCCCCTAGATTGAAAGTCCTGCTGCAGTAGGAATAGGGGGTAGCTTTTAGACAATTCTCTCCTCCTCTTTCCTATCTGTAATAACTCCCACATATTCCCTTGCTTTTTGCCCCAAAATCTTCCATTCTGAGGTACTTTGCTGTCTGTGTCTTTTTACTGTTTCTTTGCAATCTTTAAGAATTTGGCAGGACTTTTGCTTTTCATGTTACTTCTATTCATCTGCTCCTTTTTGTCCATTGTAAAAATATTGCAAACAACCCCTAAATCAAAACCCCAAGCAAACTCATTATCTCTCAAAGGCGCAACACTGGTTCAGATGACACACGATGCTGTACACAGTATTTATTTTGTTTCACTGCAGTTCAAATACATTTTTCCAACAATATACAGACAGACTCTTTATTCACAGTGGGGGGGGGGGGGTGTGGGCAGGGTGAATTCACATTAGGGAGGAGCTAACACCACTGCTCTGGAATATCAGTTCTCTCAGGAAGAATCTCAGAAGAGTAACTACTTAGGTAACAGCCAATTCACCTTTCCCAGCAAGGTGGTGGCTGGACAGGAGGGAAGAAGCACTCCTGTTTAATCCCTCATACATTACTGGTCCTCACACTTTCAGTCCTATTATGCAGCTCTATTAACTGACATTAGCTCTGTTATAAACACTAAACCCTGTCTGGAGGAAAATGCCAGGCCTAGAGCCATTGCTACAGTTATGCTAATATATACAAAGCTATTTACACAAAAATACCATTGAACATATACAAACTGTTCACAGCTCTGACATTAGGAGATCAGGGCCCAAAGACCAGCCTTGGGGCTTGCAGCTAAACCTGAAGGGCTATCCTGGAAGCTTTATATAGAAATGTGGGATGATGAAAAGGGTAATATAGCAAAGAGAGGTGTCAAGGGCCCAGGAGACCAAACCTATGGCTAATGTGCCCATCTGGAAGTAGGGTCAAAGTCTGCTGTCACCTCATAACTCATGGGGAAATGTGGGGAGGCTGGAAGGGCACATGCTAGATAGAAAAGTCCTTTGCAATCCTCATCTCAGCCTGGCTCTGTTTAATGTCAAAGGCCAGACTTAGAATGGCATACTAGGAAAGGAGTTCCTATATTGTTGCCCTAAACTATGGGGAACTACTGAGGCACCCAAGTGGTTCCCTTCTATATGGGATTTTTTACTACAAGAAAACTCATACAGATGCTCCTCAAATGCAACAGGGCATGATGGCATGCTCTGGGACACAGAATGGGACACTCCTAACACACTGTGAACAAATGTGTCCCAGGGGTAGCTTGCTCCTCTTGGAACTGCACATAGGCCTGGGCTGGCAAGGGAATGGCAATATTGAGCTCAGAACAGGGTTAAAATGCACAGAAAAGCTTTCTAGTTCTGTCTCCGTCTAAACCTCTAAACCCTGGAGCAGCAGCATAAGAATTAGTTTTTCTGTGACAAGGCTGAGTAACCTTTACAGTGGCAGCCAGGATCTGCTGGACCTCTTACACAAGGGGGCTGTGATACATTTGCAAAGGGGGCATCTGCCCATTGGACTACAGTGTGACATTACAGTGACAATGTGGGTTCATACAAACCTTAAGGATGGAGAGAAATAAGCTGTGAACCCTTCACTTCTACATCACCCACATATGCCCGAACTTGGTGTCCTGAACTGGGAACTGGGAAAGAAAGACACAAGTGCAAGGGACTGGCAAATGCTGTGGAGACCATCTTTCTCTAGATCAATAATTCACCAGAGAACTAGTTTGTTTGTGAGTCTGGCAACAGCATGGAAAAGACAGCTGAGAGCACAGGAGAAGTCATAGATAAGACTAAACCTGCAGGAGCCGGAAGCTTCTCTTAAAAAATAAACAGATTAAGGGTGTCCTTTACCCACAGCACTTGCCTTGACTCATCATGGCCCACTCCAGGCACAGAGCTTGTTAGACTGCTTGGGAACACTGTTTGGACATAAAAAGGTGTGTCCTAAATCTCATTCATAAATTAAACATACAAAAAATATACATACATTGTATAAATTAACACATATATATATAAAGCATGATTTTATATATATATGTATATAAACTCTAAATTCACATTTCTGTGTTACCTGCAAGGAAGCATGCAAGAACAGCATACGGAGAGGGACTTGCTGAACAAGGTTTCTCTGGTACAGAGCAGGTCTGTCTAGGACAAACCTGCCTCCAGCAGCATTCCCCAGACAGCTGAAGGAAGGGGAAGTGCCTTTGGACCCTATTCCCTCTATACAGCCGTTTTCCTGAAGATACACAGAGCTGCTTCCTGTATTCCCAGTATAGGCCACAGGTCCAACCAACATCTGAGGAACCACCAGGCTACAGCTGAAGAAGGAAAGGCAAACAAACATTAAAGCCAAAATCTATTATCATCCAGTCTGATAAAATAGCAGTTTGCAAGTCAGCAACAGAATCTGGGCACCACTGTATGGAGAACCCCTGCTTGCCCATGTCAAAACAAGTGATTCAGTCCCCGCTCTCTGATTCCTCTGCAAGTCTCTCAGTCTCTTATGATCATCATTCCTGCTTCTTTCTAAGATCCTGTGTTGTGTTCAACTGCCTAAGTACATCTTTGCTCCACAATCTGTTCATCTTATGCCCAAAGGGGCAGCCAGTCATCTTGCAAACAGTCCTTTTGCATCCCACCAGTCTCTTTCCATTCCAAAGAGCACCTTAACCGTCTCTGTAGGGAAGAGATCCAATGTTTCCAAAGGCCTGGATTTCATGAGGGATTCCTGCACAATCTCACCTTCTGAGGAAAGTCAGCAAACTTCATCCGGGCAAGAAATCGTCTCACTTCTCCACGGCTGATTTTTGGAGTCCTGCTGTCCTTTAACCACACCATTCGACCTTGACTCATCATGGCCCACTTCAGGCTCAGCTTGCTGACTGAGAGAAATCCTGGCTGTTTTTCAGATGTTGCTGTTGTTGTCACAGTGATGTGAAATGCATCCTTTTGGAGATCATTAATTCCAACTGGTCCATCAGAAAAAGGTAAGAAAACAGTGGTGAGGAGTCAATGATTACGTTTCTTCCAAAAGAAATCTTTTAGCCCTTACTCAGTCAAAACATCCACTAGACTGATAGTGTATTCAGTCTGACTTTACAATTCCATGTACCTTAGTTGATAAGGGAAAATTATTTTAAACATTTTTCCATGGAAGAAAACTGAACTATACATCAGAAATTGAAGTGTTTAGTTCCAGGTTATGCTTCTGGGCTTGACATAGGATATGAACATATTTCAAGAATACAGTTCGCTCTCAGCTTTCCTTCCCACACCTGTTAGTAGCTATTCTTTACCTCTATAAAACGAGAAATTTGTAAAGCAATGGCAAGTTGAGTGACTCCAGTCACTGCAGAATGCTCTGTACAGTCCTCAGAAATCCTGGTTTCTTAAAAAAAAAACCTGTAACAATAGTATTCTATTTGTTCTTGCCTGAACTGTGTTTTTCATACAAGTCCAATTAGATGCTATTACTATGCAGCAGTTTTTCTATGCTTCCTGGCCTACTTCTCTTAGCTCTGGATGAACGGATCTTTTATCCCACACTCCCAGGCACAAGAGGCTGGTTATTTGCTGAACTGCTTTAGAAAGAGCAAGGAAATTGAACAGGGACTGTACAATCTTGTATAGACGTTAAATCCAGATTTACTTTTCCCTGAAAACACACTTACATATTTTGGATTCCTCCTTACAAAAAGAAGGAGGGAGAAGTACAACAGCTCCTATCCCAAAGAGCAAGAGATGGCCAACAAAAGCAGAAGTGTATCTGAGGTGACAGAGAAAAGTTTTATAGTGATTTTTTATGCACTTAATTGAATTAAAAATAGCTCCATGGAAAGCAACACAACTTGTCTGGTGTAAAACATGCATTAAATCAAACTGAAACCTTTCATTGGTTAAAGATGTAAGAAACTTTTATTTGCTTTTATTTGGGTCTTTTATTTGCAAAGTAGGGGGTGGACAGGATGTTTCTTAAGAAGGAAGATGAATCTTATTTCCCATTGTTGTGCTATGTGTGGTGCACCTTAAGTGCTACCTTTAAAGGCACAACTACAGCCCATTGTTTCTCACAGCTACTTCTCTCTCTGTATTTCTAGCCTAGGTAGTTTTTCCTCCATTTTTACTCACCTGCTGAAGCAATGACTTTGTCTGTTGCATTGGTGAGGTCCAAAAGGACTGTAGGAAAAACAGGATGGAGGAGATAGAGGTGGTGCAGCCCTGGGCGCTCAGGTCTGGGACCAGGTTGCTGTTGGAATGAAAGACACAAAAACGTAACAACTGCTAGCAAAGGGGAGTCTAGCTTTGTCAAAAAAAACCATTAGTTTTCTCACACTGTGTGTTTTTACATGGATCAAAGAACTAAAATCTGTGGTTTTACAAAGATTAAATCCTGAAATCCTTTTTTCCCTAAAACAGAATTTGCTCTACAACTTCTCTTTGGTAAGGTTGAAGTCTAGCTCTGTCATATGCAGCTTGATGGGCAAAGCTACAGTCTGGCATGTAGCTGTACAATCTGGCAGTCTGACATTTGAGTCTCCATGCCAAACTGTGCCTGTATGGACAGAAGGTGCACCCTGGGCTGGGAACAAATCTGCAGTTACAACTCCTCAGTGCTGCATGAAAGAATGAAATTCACAAATTTTGGGGTTTGTGGATGCAAAATTTCTGTCAACAAAGCTTTATGATTAAGAATTTGCAGATAAAAACTCCTGTGTTCAGGCTCAGAGAAGTCAGAATGTCAGAAATGACAGCCTTCCTATATGTTAGGTTCAAGTTCAATGACAATAGAAGTAAGAGACAGAGACTGCATGTGCTTCACAGAGAAACCTCAAAGTGAAGAAAAGATGTGTGCTCACCAGACTTCGTAACATAGGCTGCGTTTCATCAGCCCAGAAGAGAAAAACAGACTTCTTGTCCAAAGTCATGACTGAGAGTGCATCGAGTTGTTGCCTATGCCATGGAAGTTCCTGGTTCCAAACAGGGAGGCCAGATTTGCCATCTACCACCACCACCTCAAGGCAGGGAGAGATTAAGCATTAATGGATGTCAAAGAGTGGGTATGCAGAGCCCCCTTGCAGAGGTGTGGCCTGTGCTGTTCCCTTTCATGCCTGTGGCCACACTCTAATGAGTGGTGGCCAAAGAGATGGGAAAAGCAAGGACCAGAGAATGTTTGTCTCTTTTTACCCAACTTCCCCCACTCCTGTGCTGCCACTGCCCTCCCTGCCTTCACCTGTTTTACCTTTTTGTTCCCATCTCCAGTCTGTGCTTGCAGCATGAAGTCCAGAGTTTGGTCAGCACCAAAGTAACCTGGTACAGGCTGGCTGTAAATTTGGAAAAAGAAACACTCAGCCCCATGATAGAAAAAAACCCTAATTTCATATGGAGGCAGAATAGATGCCTTTATCCTGCATTCTGCCTCTTAAACTGCCAGGATTTATCATGCTAAATAAGGTCTTTCATTTACTCAGACCTATTCTGACCGTTAGGAATCATTTGTTGGTGGATCAGAAAAGTGAAAAATGGTAAAGCGGCCCATGGTGCTTGTCAGCCATTCTTCAGAATAGTCTGTGTGGGGGGCATCACTTGATGGGCTGTGCAGACATCTGTTTATCTCTCTGTACACTACTCTATCATCCTTTCCTTTGCATGAGAACCTGTAATATTGTTGCTATAATTATATGAAAATACCCAGCCCTTCCAAAATGCATTGGCACATTTGGCCTCCTGCAGAAAGTGGATTTCCCAGGCTGCCTTAGCTGTGTGAAATGGATCTTAACAAACTCAACATTAATGTCAGCCCACGATTCCTTGTGTTCTTACTGCTGGCAGGTTTACAAGCCTTTTTATGACCTTAAGCAGGTTAAATGAAGTCCCTTCTCATCCTCTCACTCCTGGGTGACATAACACATTGTATCTCTCATTGTAAATGTTTTCTAACCATATTCCTTGCTTTTGGCTTTCTGAGCCTTGCCTCTTGTCTTCCTTCAATTCACTGCAGCTAGATGCACGATTCTAAATAAGCACAATTGAGTCCACAAAATTCACAGAACAAGAGATTTTATGGCAAGGCAGGATCAGAGTATATCCCCTCTCCTCTTATTTATGACAGATTTCTGTATTTCACCCAATTAACCAAGTATCAGTAGGCTGGCTTTGCCTCATCTTTAATGAGATGAATTCATCACTTCTCATGACAGTCAGTTCTAATGATTAATTTCACCCAAAGAAACATTCTGCATCTTCATTTTCCTGAACATAAATGGCTTTTGCTCCAAGGCACTTGTTCTTGCTATGCCTATTAGCTTCTATTTCTTACACATGCTTATGAACTCACCTCTCAGGCTTCTCTTTGATCATATAAACTCAATAATTTATATCTTCCATGCCAAAGCATTTTTTCCAGACCTTCTCCCAGTTTTTTTCCATCTTCCCCTTTAAAACGTGCATGACAGAATGGTTCTTGAACAATAATACTGCAGCACCACAGTGCCTTGACTTTATACTTACGACATCAAACATCATCATTTTTTTTACATCTTTGGCAACCAGGTGCTGCCTTCAAGGCAGTATCATGAGGCACTCCTATAGCTCGAAAGCTCTTCAGTAGCAAAAGGAAATAGCAGGCAATTCTATCCTATGACCACAAACTTAAAACATCTCCTAAGG